GATAGATGATATGAGTTTTTAGCTCTGATACCAAATGATATAGGATAGGAATCACTCCAATTCTAAGACCACTCGATGATTGAGAGATTCCAAGCCTAGATTTGCGGAATGTGGAAACGATGGTACAGATGGAAGGAAAGTGATTGACTCGCTCAATCAAATGGACGAACAAGGATGGATGAATCTCACAAACACACTTAATTCGTGGCTTCTAAAGAATAGAAGTGAATCACACACTTTTATTCAAAAGAACAAGAACAATCTTCAAAGACACTACTTTGAAAGAAAAACTAAAAACTTTGTATTAATCTATGATCAAGGGTTTCTTTTTACAATGGTTCGAACTGAGCTTATATAGGACTCTTTCCCAACGTTCTAATAGCCTAAACTAAGAAACAAAATCGCAAAATTAAAAGAAAAACTAGCCGTTGGGATAATGTGAAATATGGCCAAATAAGGTAAGTTGTGATGTTCCTTGAGTCTTGAGAGTTTGGGCGTGAATATATGATGTCTTGGGATGTCTTGATATAGCCGTCTGCAGAAGTGAAGATATAGCCGTTGGAGATTTATAACACCAAGTGTGATCATATTGAATGCGCTTGGGTTTGAATAAGGTAAGTCATTCCATTTGCAGCACCAATCGATCCTCTGCGTTTTGATAGATCTAATGACATCTTGTAGAGCTTCTAGTTGATGTAGAAGGTCTCCTAGTCTCCAAAGATAAGTTTACAATCTCCCAAAATCGGAAGGTTCCAAATAAGGCAAGCTGAGGAATGGCTGGTTTAGAAAATCAATAACTTTAATTTCTGAACCGATATTGGCCTCCAACCAATTCTCCTTATATCTCTGATGGCTCAAGAATCTGGAATAATTCGGTTAATGGCTTAATTCTTCTTGGTTTGGTTGGAATTCTTCTTTTAACGCGCATATGTCCAAATCGGGTAAGTCCAGAAACACTCGAATTGTAAACTAAATCTCTCCTTCGTCGGAACTCCGATTGGGTTGATTTAAATTCATGGCTTTCTGTCGTTGAGCTGAAAACGTTTCCCAAGTGGTTTGATGCTCTGAATCTTCGTGGTTAATTCGGTATTCTCTAAGAAAGGCACATATGTCCTTGTCGAATCCTATGCGGTTTGAATGGTATGTTTGATGGAGCTCCAAGCCAGCTACATGTTTGATGACCGCATCATACCCTCCCCCTTGACTGGATTTTGTCCTCAAAATTGTAGGATCTGCACAGACATAAATCAAGTTAGTATCTTCAAATAAGTGCGAGTTTAGAAGATTACCTCGAGTAAGGGCTGGTGTATTGCTCAGATGAAGTTGATGTTGTCCGTCTGGTGGTTCTTCTTCTTTCTCTACGATCTTCTTTTGTATCTCGAGATCCATGTCCACGTGCTCCTT